TCTTATTTTCAGGATTGTGTCCTCTTTCATGACTCACTTATGTACAATTTGCGTTATGGCAATATTCATGCCAGCGATGAGGAAATATTCGATGCTGCTAAATTAGCGGACCTTCATCAAGCCGTCACTCGAATGCCTGCCGGCTATAATACTTTGGTCGGAGAAAGAGGCTTAAAGTTATCCGGTATGATGTTGTTGTGGTCATGTTTATGAAGTTTACGTAATCGTTGATTTTGGGTGGTGAGAAACAGCGAGTAGCCATAGCCAGAGCTTTGCTGAAGAAACCGCCAATAATTGTTTATGACGAGGCTACGTCATCACTTGATTCAATTACGGAAAAGGTGGGTTGGTTTTCTCTCCTTCAGTTCTTCATGAAATGACATTCTGTCAAAGACTTCTGATGAATTAACTTTGTCGCCTGATTTTATTTGAATATATATTTTATGAATGATACTTCTAAAGCTGAGCAGATTCTGCACCAAACCGACAGATTAGTTGTGAGGAGAAGTCAGATTTGATCCCTTCCACTTTTGATTGCAGTTCTCTGATCTCGATATCTTATGACTGTAGCATATCTAAAAAATTAGATGATATATTAAAGACATGGTTTTGATGTACTTTTCTGCAAGGACAAAACCGTAAGAAATCTGCCTGTTGTATCGAAAGGACGGTCCCCACATCAACTTATAATGTAGAGACATTGTCTATAAAATTGCTCGCAATAGCAATTATAATTGCATTTATATTGACTAGACCTGATAGACATTAAAAATCAGATTAACTTAATACGGGATATCCATTAGGCGTTGTAACGCTGACTATTTCGGTTTTGTTGTCCATGCCCTAGAAAATGATCATTTCATTACTCTGACAACGACGAGTAAATAAATATATAATTTCTTCAAGAAAATCTGGATGCTGAACAGTCAAAGGATCTAACAGAATTCAGAAGTGGATTAGTACGATGAATCATTTCCATCTGGTACAGCAGGTAACTCAGCGGCAGCGAACTTCCGCTTCTCTCTGTAGTTCGTTCTCTCTGTTCGTCGATTTCTCGAAGACATTTGACTCAGTCTACATGCATTCTCTTGATGAGCCAGGAAATCGAAAAATGATACAGGGATCTAATCACCATCATTACAAAAATACAACTGGTAGTGTGAACCTTCAAATTCGACAACGCTGTCCAAAAGGATGATTCAGCATCACCGAAGCTATTCACATCACTCCTAAAAGAGGCATTACATAGAGCAATTGGGAAAATGAAGGTTAGAATATAAATAGACATTGCTTAAGCCATCCGGACTTGGCGGACAAAATAATAATCTTTTTAAGGGCATCAGAAGAAATTATCAGAAAAACGAAGAGATAAAAAACGCCACATGAAAGTGGGACTGAAAATTAACCTGAAAAAAACTCAGATCCTTGTCAGTAAATAGGTAATCGAGTCTCCTGTTGAAGTCAGCGGACTTAGGCTTAAAGAGGTACACAGCTATATCTGTCTTTGTCAGCTCATCTCTGCAACGGAGAACCGATTATGTGAAATCAACAGAAGGATAGAATGGCATGGAGCACGTTTAGAAGGCTGAAAACTTTCGCTTCCAGGAAGCTATCATTGTGTTTGAGACAATAAGTTTTCGATCAGTGTGTGCTTCCAGTGCTCGCCCTTGTTTCGTTCTCTGGTGAAAAGTTCCCCTTGTTTACCCTAAATCTAAAAGCTGTCCATAAACTGCAGACTATGCAACGCAGCACGGTAAGATGAAGGATGCATGTTGAGAATAACAAGGAAGAATTGTAAGGCGATTGAGTAGGTAAGAGCACAAATAAAAGTCCAGTGTAATTGCCTGAGTGAAGAGGTTAGACTTCCAGGGAGTAGGACATGTTGCTACAAGAACCGTCGCTAGACCAAAACGACGTTAGACTGGGTTTCAAGAGAGTAAACAATCGGTAGGAAACCTCCAGATTGATTACAAGATGAGCTAGCGAATTTTGCTGGATTACGACGGATGAAAATGGCAGATAACGGATGTTTATTGCAGTCTTGGTCAGGCTTTCGTCCAGCATGTCGATCAGGATGGATCGAAAAAGGCAGAAGATGATTAATATCGTGGGTTTGAGAGAATTTCAAGATCCCCGTAAGTTCTGACAGCTATTCATTCAGAATTGCTTTCGCTGTGATGTTTGGTTTGTTTCATAATTCCTTCATAAATGGTATTTTATCGGTTGGAGTGTGTTTCTGGATTCTGCTAATTCTGTAGTGATCATGGTTTTCAAACATGTTTGTTTATACTATATTTTCAAATTCATTGCCTGTTTTTGTCATGAACATTTTGGTCATGTTGCTTTTTGCTCAGAACATAATGGAAGCAATGAGTCGCGTGGTTTCGAACCGCACTTCGATATTCATCGCCCATCGACTTGCTACCATCGTTGACGCTGACGATATCTATGTTCTGGAAAATGGCGTCGTCGCTGAACATGGTACTCATTTGGAGCTGCTGGCGAAACCGGGCAGTCGGTATGCAAAATAGTGAATTAAAAAGTTTTTGTTGTTAAATTTTGACTTCAATACAGGTACTCGTACATGTGGGAAAATCAGAATAAAAATCCGATTCAGATCGCCCGAGAAAGCGAAAATGCCAAGCTAAACAGGATCTTAATGGAAATCGATCGAAAGAAATGTTGCGGCAATAATTCTTGCGGGGCATAGTGCTACCATGGAAAATGGTCGGCTTCTATGTGTCGGCGTTGATTTACCTATGTCAGGCTAGGTAATTGATCAATGTCTTTTGTACCATCACTTTTTTTGAAGAAGAAAATTTACTGCATTCTGGAAGCAGTGACTGATCAATCTGTACATGATTCATCAGCTTAGGATGTTCTCTTTCAGTGGGAATATCAGAGGCTGGCGTTTACTAAGTCTTCTCAGAAAAGCAGATTTTAAACTATTTCCTGTACTGAGTTTTTCAAACCAGAGCGCCTCTAATTTGTATACAGTTTTGATGGCATTCATTTGTTTTCCACTAATTGCTTTTGTATGCTGGTTGGATATATATGATGACAGACGAATCGAGGTGTCTCTCTGTCCACACGGATGATAAACTGATACATTCATTATTCTTTATTTGGACATCAATAGCTGTGATGGACCGAATTGTTCGTTAAGGTCTGTAATCATAAAGATAATCTTCGTTTCCTTCTGGTAGACCATTTTGCATTACAGAAATGAATTAGATTATTTGGCAGTTTCTGATTATGGTAGCAGTGACGATTTTGAAAGGGTCTCGTGTCAGTGTTGCCAAATCAGATTATTTCTAGCATTCTGGAGACTTCGTAACAGCGTAAGTAAGAAACGTTTGCATTTGCAGTGATTTCAGATTCACGTGCGGTGGACCTATAGCGATAGTGCCAAATTTTTTGTATGACCCAAGAAAGATAGCATTTAATGGTGCTTAATTATTCAATTAATACTTCTTATTAATTACTCAGTTACTTAATAGAATTGTTTTCTAGGCAGGGTTCTTTTGTTATTAAAGTACGTAAAGTCTGCAGCTGACTTGTAAAATGCAGACTTTTATTTAGGTACCGTAATTGAGACACAGCAGGCGACGTCTATTCTAGGAAAGGTGTTGACTGTCGTCAACAACTGATATAGTGCCCTTCATTCACCTGTGGGTAACCCTCGACCTGTGTAACAATCGGCTCACTTCCCTCCAGCGGTTCTTAATGGCGCAGCCAATAGCCTGCCAGAAAATTATCGTTCAGTGATGTGCAATTCAGTAAACTTATTTTCTTTGGCATTTTTTGTACTTTTTAGCGTCAGTGAAGTTCATGCTTCAGAGTCATGCTGTCGGTTGTGTAGTGGCATAATGCCAAAGAGGTCTCTTTAGAATTCCAGAGGTGTCAGGTTCGAATGCAGTCCAAGGAAAACTTGTTTTAAACGTAAATTTCCTTGAGCTAGGAATTAACCTGACAGATGTAGCTTTAGCACAACTAGCCGAAAAACGAGTATTAGGACCGACGACCTGCGAATAATAGGACAAGAGAATATTCTGACTGATCACGCCAGAGTGAAAGAGATTGTTGGCCATGCTGTCCATTGCGAACACTCCTTGTGGCTGAATTTCACCCCACATGATATTTGGTTATCCAATCAGCATTAGATGTAACCACAATTTCGATTTCGACACTGATGAAGAAGACGCAGATCAGATTGTTCGAACGTGCAATATGAATTGCTAACAGCATCACTGATCTTCGTTCGGCATTAAACAAAATGAGCAAAATTCAGCGCAGTTATACTGCACTTGTTCATTGTACATTGTTTTAGTCATATACATTCAACCACTTCTCTTCAAGAGATAGCGAAATATAGATTTGTGGTAATAAATTCAGTGCGAGCTGGCATCGCGCTCAATTTCTTTCTTATTTCCTGAAGCAAATACCTACGTTTTTTTAAACTTGCTTGTAATGAACCACTTTCGCTGTCAACAGAAACAAATAGCCTGCATAACTTGCACTGCAATCTGGTCGATTAGGTTTTCTAAGCAAATTTTGCTGATCTAAGGAATCAGCAACGGTGCACACAGATAACGAAGTTTTCTTCTGCAAGTTGATGAAGATGATCGAAATAATAATGAATGAAAATTGGCATGAAATATATATACATGTATATGTATGTATATGTATGAAACAGGGTATGTAGAATCATTAGGTTGCATGATGTGCCACTGAGTAATGAACCATTACCAAACTTACTGGCATATAATACTGAAGGACTTCTAATTAATTAACTGTGTAAGCGTTGCAAAGGTACTGATACTAAAGTTAATCCTGAAGGATGCATGAAAAACTAGTTGCAGTATAAAAAACGTTGACTAAGTTTTACCCCACTCTAAGTGGAAGGCCGGTTCTCATCACTTTCGGCCTCATATTCAGATGAAACCAATGGTTCATGACCGTTTTCGTTTGAAGCACTAGTACGGTAACAGTAAATGCGTGCAAAATTATTATGCAAATACCTTATGGCTTAGCACGAGGCTTTCTACTGTAGTGGTCAAAAGTTATGCATCAAGGAAAGTAAAAGGGTAAAGGTCGGAACCGGTAGCTGTGACTTTACGTGACTATAAACCCGGACCATTCAAAACGTGGATATTCAGTACAGCGGATTTGCTGAACAAGTCTTGCCAATTACATACAAGTCATCTTTGTGCAGCTCAAGGTTTCTACTACTAAATTGCGGTTCAATAGAGCTTTGGACTGCCATTCAATAGCGCATTAGCGCTTATTTTTCAGGATCCTAACCTGATAGATCTTCATGCATCCTATGAAGTTTGAGTTCGAATTCAAACGTTTTCTCTGTGGAGTGAGCAATAAATGGCATGTGATTTTCTGTAGAACTGGTGCAGTGTTAAATAAATGATATAAAGGAGAAAACATCTTTTACTTGGATGGTCGAAACCGAGTAAATTAATCAAAGCCGTAGTTTATTATTGTACAGATTGTCATTTATTTTAGTTTTACTGTCTTTTTTCCAGATTCGCATCGTCCCTTTGCTTTTGATGAACTAGTTCCTTTAGGCATATGGCACCAAGTACACAACGACACCGAGTGAATCCGACGAAGCGACCCGTGTTATGCAGATAGTTAATATCTGGGATTAATTTCCATTAGTAAACAGAATATCATGTATATTTTCGTTTGCGTCTATTTTGATTCTTATCATTTTGAGAAATCTTTTGATTTTTTCAGTGACTTTCGCTGTAAAGTGCATTGACATCGTTTCCTGTGGCAGAAACCTAACTAAGAAGAAGTTAGAGGCTACATTTTTGAGATGTTTTCCTAAGACACGTTTTGATCAGTAGTGAAACTTTCGATCGTGAACCAAATTTGAAATGACTTTTGAACGTTTTCCCGCTTCATTGCGAAATATCAGCTGACACGGTGACAGGCACCGCCAAATCACGGGTCAGTGAGCTCGATCTGTCTGTTCGGTCAAGGGCTACACGATGGCAGCAACAAGTGCGTTCTCTGTTCTTTAGTAGGTTACCTAAGTGAAATGAAATGCAGCGACCAGTGAACTATTCTAATTGCTGTAAGATGGCTTGTAAAAGACTGTTACTTGCATTGTCAATGGTAAGGTTATGTTGTGACTTTATACTTGTACTGTTAACTAAGTCTAACTTATTAGGCAATATTCAACGAACTATCGTTTTCAGCACAGGAATTTCTTAGCAATGGAAATATGGTCAGAGGAGTAGGTACGACAGATAATCATATGTCCCCTAACTCTTCAACGAAACTTCGGAAGGACAGTAGGAAAGTATTCAGAAAAAGGCATATCGGAAGATCCGTGAAGTCTTACTGGCAACACGACTCAACTTACACCGAATCCCAAGAAACGTCACCAAAAATCTGCATCCAAAGTCCACTGCTAATCACAAATCAAGTCAACCCCGAGCACGATCGAACCTTGTGCCCTTGGAAGTGGAAAGTCAACAGAAACCACAGACGGAAGCCACCGCTTCTGTCCGAAGCCGTTTGTCTGTGCCGATACGCGAGAGGCTTCCGGATGGCCCGCTGCATGCCAATCTTACGTGAAATTGATGTGCAAGTACTGGTTGATGATCCAGTGGCAGAGAAAGCCATTTATATCGATACTCAGGAAATTATTTCAGTTGGATGCAATGCAGTTGTGCCAAATATTCGACTGGCTCAGCAATTTATTCCTTCACCGATTTGGCAAGACATGCAATAAAAATGGCCATAAACATATGTCCATCTGTTGATCTGTTTCACAAATCATTGATCGAAGATGGCCATTCTTCAAAAGAATATGTAGCACTTTTCGTTCGATACGTAGTGAACAGTAAGTAGTTCAGAGTTCGGTACCTGAGACGAATCAAACCAAAGTACCGGCCACCTGCTGTTGCATTAAAATGTTGATGACTATGGTCTTTGCACCTATTATTCCATCGATTAACATGAACAGATCGCTTTCGGACGTAACTTCATTCAGACTGCGTGAAATTGAACTTAGTGCCATTAAAGATGAGACGTACTGTATAGTCTTTTACTAGTGGGATTACACATTTCTTATGTACTAATACATTATCCGAATAACATTGTACAAGTGAAGTAGCACAAGTACAGTAGTGCCTTCTGAGTTGTAAAGGATACATTTGACGTATTATCTTCGGCAGTGTGCCCTGCACTTTTCTAGTGTTAACGATCGAAATCCGATATTTCACTCCACCATTTATACACATGTCAGAGCCTGATCATTTTACAACAGAAGTTTATATAAACATCAAACTAAATTCAAATGTTATAGTATATCAAATCTTCCAAAACCATAATTTACGGTGTATTGCACCGCCCTTATGTTGAGGATGGCATTTAAGCAGGTAACAGATGCATGGTATTTGACCATCTGCAGTGCCAGATGCATCTCGCATCCTATAGTGGACTAGAGCCACCTTGCGCCTGTCGCGAATGAAGTTGAATCAGTGAAGGTGGTATTCTTCACGACGTGCACCCAAATACCATGGAGCCTTGGTTACTTAAATGGTTCCTTCGGCAACTGGATGCTTTGAATTCTGGCGTTGGACGAGTTATTAGACAATCGCCATTAGATAATGTTAATACATTTCACTCGGTTTCTCAAATCAGTAATTCCTCTAACGTCGTCCCGGCCCTGCATATGAGCTATCATATGATATTCAGAAGCCAAACATGGTTAAAGTTTCTTTGGAGATTATTACGGTGGTCGAAGTCTTTTCATTCAGGCATCGAATCAGTTTTCTCTTAAAGATTTGCCATTCCCTGGTTGCCGTTGCATCTTTAACCGACTGCTTCAATGGTGACATTAAATCTAAGCGATGAGGAAAAAACTCATTGCCTGTTTTATATCTGCACTGGAGTCCCCCTCAGTAATCATCAGGTAATTGAAACGTTACCATTGAATTATATCTTTTAAAATACCAATTCCTTTCTTCGCCTGTAGGCATGTAGAACGGTTATGGTGCTTGTTGCTGTGATAGATTGTGTAACCTTAATTGAACGCAGCTGGTAACTAATTCGTCTCTATTTTTCTACTGCTCTCATGCTCTGGGTGTAGCGCGACGCGAAACTAAACTTACGTGGTAATTGGTACTCAGTGTTCAGCCTTCGATCCAAAAAGTCGGTCATACTGCTGTTTAGAGAGCATAGCTTCCTGGTTGGTTTTGTCTTTCATAAAACGCATTTCTTACAGGCTACTATCAATGCATTAAGGCTGTTCAAGGTTCTGATGGCCCCTGCTTGCCTTTTGTTACAGGACTGACAGATTTAAGACACTTAAACTTCTTCCGCAGTTAAAGCAACGCCTAATTTAGCCTTTACAGTGGCCTTCAGCTTTGGACAAGGCAGCAGATAGCTAAATATTTTACTGCCCTAGAGTATGCAGCTAATATTGTCCAGCTGTGTAGTACGGAGAGCAATCTCTGTCATCTGACGGCTTCCGTTCGCAACACAGCTGCGAAAGCCGGCCCCTGCCATGGTGCTCAGAAGTCCAAACATATGAGGAACCCGCCAGACACGGCTGATCTACTAGTGAGTGGAACGGATAGGTGAAGCCGTAGAAGAAGTCGGCCACTTAAAGTATCTCAGTTTAATCATCTGCAACGAACGCTCCATCAAGTTAGAATTAAATAGGAGGATCGCCAGTGCTTTTGGTAACCTGTCGAATATTTGGACAGGAGAAAGGGATAGCTCTTTACACAAAAACCAGCTTGCACCTTGACTCTGTTGGGTCAGTATTGTTGCACGGCATGGAGAAAGTTGTTCCAATGAAGAAGCGAGTGACGGTTGAATCGCATGAGGGTTAAATGGCAGGAACACGCAAAGAATGACTCAATAGTTTTTCAGGGACAGGTGACCTTAATGGATGTGGAGATAAGAAAAGGAGGTTTTCCATGTGATGCAACCCAGCTAAGCTTAAATTAGTTTCTAGAGCCCGCAAGATTCTTCTATACACGAAGATGATACACAGCACAAGTTGACCAGGAGACAACATGCAACATGGAGTAACAGAAGCAGACCTGTTTTCAGAGAAGAATATTTACTTCTACGATGGACGGCCATCACAACGGATATCATAAACCAGAGACGTTCTGCCTATGCAAACGGCTCAAGGTGACGATCACATGCATATAGCAAAAATCGGGAATCATGTTTAACATTATTTAAAATCTGTATTGCTTTGATCATTGTTCTTTACCTAACTGATGTGTGATCTTCAATGTTTAAAACGAGCAGAATGATCGTTGCTGCATATTGCATACCAAACGAATGAGACTGAATCAGAGCACAACGGGAATGTTCCTTCTTTACTGCCATTTTATCTAAATAACGAATTCATCAATACACTAAGTCCTAGCGAAACCAGCCAACAAACATGTAGGTCATATATAACCATCATAGATAGATAATCCGTGAACGACGATGCTAGAAAAATTTTTATCAACCATTCATCTTTATCAAGTTCGGCGTTCATGCAGTCCTTACGCTGTTTAAACCGTTGCTTGACACCTTTACTTGGCTGATAGCTGGTCGGAATATGGTGAAATTCATCTGCTAAAAACAAATACTTACAGATTAGCCTTTTGTTTCAAACATGGCCAAATGTCCCATC